CAGAACGCAGACGAGGGTGTTTGAAATCGGAATGAGAACTTACTCATTTTCCACGTCAAACAAAAGAGAGAATACATGATTAGTATAAACAGCGTTAACAAAAACATTGAACAAGTAGTGTGCCATAGTCGAAGAGAGTAAGGACGACAGTGTGGGTGACATTTAAAAAGGAATAAACAGTGATGCAGTGTGAAACACAGTAAAGCTCAAACCAATAAAAAATTCATGAATACAAATATGAAAAATCACAGAAAAAGGATGCAAGAATAAGGAATAATGGGAAAATAGATCAGAACTACAAATTGAGAACACGCAAGGAAGGGAAGAACTGGAATTAGACAAATAAAACAGAAAATGCTTAAGCTCAAATCAAACTCTTGACCATTTAGTGATTATGTAGTAGACGGTAGTGAATTCCAAAAATCCAGTGCTGAGAAATGTAACGACTGATCGCCGTAGTTCGCACGTGGAAGTTTAAGCCGGGTTTGGAAGGTGGGCAAACTGGAAAACACGGCAGCTCTTGGCTTCAACACACCTGCATTCTGAAACGATGTCCTGGACTATAGAGAAATTCTTCAACTCAAGAAGGTGAAAGACGTCATCTGCTATGCCACCAATAACATGGTCATCCTTACCAACTTCGGACATGTGCAAGCCTACCTTCCAGCACAAAGCGAGCAAGTTCTGAATGTACATGAGGTAGGATTTGGTGCACGTCTAAACCCGACGTGTGAGCTCGTTTTGGACGGTACACTGACTTCCCACAGATATGTTGAACAGCTCCCGGAGCTCTTGCTTGCGTAACTTTCAGCTTTTCAGGTCTTCCTCACGCGTTTCGCACCAGAACTTTGCGATGCCTCTGAGATAGTAAATCACATTAGGCAGCATGAGCGTTGGGTCCCAACGCATACGTACTCACTCATATGACTCGTAGTTACTCGCTCATACCTACGCTCTTACCTACTCGCTCATTTGACTTCTACGTCAGAGCCATAAGTGCGAAAAAAGGTACGCAGGTCTCTTGGGTATTCTACGATGAGGCTTGATGGGCCGGTTGGAGAAAGCACGGACGTGGTTGGAGAAGGTATGGTAGTCGGGAAAGGTTAGGCGTTGTTGATATCAGTCGCCATGGAGGAGGCCACTAGGCGCCCGCGACGAAGCATCGTCATGCGTGTCCCGCACCTTTCACCAAACATGTTACGGGGCCAATAACTTTACTGCACGAACACACAGACTGAACGCACTGGCGACCGAGATGGCGCTCAGAGAGCTCGCCGAGTTGGCGAACCTCGTATTCTTCCCTGTCTTTTCCGTTGTTCTCATCCTTCGTTCAAATATAACGAGTTTATAGATGCGTAAGGATGTCAACAACAATGTAGATATTAGCAACACCACAAGCGATACGCTGATATGAAGCACTGGTGCTCGTTCTGATGATAGCCCTACACACTGATACATAAATGAACTTCAGCGGATGGCAGTTAACTACAATTGACGTTAACCAGATGTGACGGCTGTATGATAGCAGTAGATATGTAATGTTTATAAAATTGGACAGCCAGTGTGGCCCAGTGTCTTAAAGCGCGCTGGGAGGCAACAGTCACGCTAAACAGTCTGTGCCGCACACTAGGAACATTAGCGGTACATTTGAAGAACCTGGGCACGATCGGTCGATGTTGAGCATAAACTTGACCGAATATGATGATATTCTAACCTATGTGCTGCGCATATATTGCTTTTGTTTTAGTTAGGCAACGAATGTGTGCGTACCCTGAAGCATTCATCTGTCGAGCGCACGGTTGAGGCACGGTGCCAGGAATGTTTCAACCTTTGGGGGGGGGGGGGAAGGGCAGCACCGACGACAATTGTGTTCCTTCCGGGGGTAGGGACGCACAGAACTCAAGAGTCATGTTTTGGCTATGTTTGCGCTTGAGGGAGGCAAAAAGAGGGTCGTGAATACGCAACACAGTATGCTAATAGTATAAGTCTGATAATTAATATAGGCCTACTCTGGCAGTCAGTCGCTCCGGCTCGTACCGCAAAAAGCCGCACGTTGTGGCAGCAGTTAGCGGCTGCAATGCCGAATCGCGGCGTTTTAACGCGATAGCGCTAAAGAGTTTGTTTCGCAGAATTTCCGGTGTTGGCGTTGGTGTCGGTGCGTTTATTGTGAGCGAAAAATAATCATTCTATGCATTTGCGAAAAATCAAGAACGATGGAAATGAAATAAATAAATGATAAAAACCCTGGGGTAGTGTGCGGACCACACGAGCCTTGTTGCGGTCTGAGTGGGTTTGGACCAGGTTCGTTTGCGCGTCAAGCGCATATCTAACGACACGGCCACGCCTCTACTTGTCAAAACAGCTAAAAGAGCTTCCTCTGGTTCGCAATGCAGGGAAATCAGCTTTCGTGCTTCACAAATACGCGCGTCTTGTATAGATGCTTCACAATGCCACATAAAATATCGGAGTAACAATGTCGGGTCAAGCGCCCTTTCCCAGCGGGCGTCAGAATATATGATTATCATAATGACTTCTTGGCTGAAAGCCGGTGGCCCTCTTATTTTCGTTTCCTGTTTCTTCACTCCTCCCGAAAGAGTGAGCAGGCGTTGTGCCCCTCAAGGTGACAGTCGCCCGCTTTCTCACTCCCTCTTTCCTCTATGTCCCTGTGTTTCCGTGTATGCAAATCAAGTAACTTAATAAAGAAATCTTAGGGCACCCACGCTACGGCGCCTATTCCCATAAGGCTGCAAAGTGGGTGCATAGTAAATTCGAACAGGTTTCACGCAATAAGTGTTTGAATCACGCACTAAGAACAGGGTGTCGCTAAGACGTCGAACTCCAAAAGGCGTAGCTTTAGGGTCCCCTAGTTTGCTTGCATGGCCAGCAGCTGCCTGTAGCGGCAGAACATGATTTTTCACCTTGTTTGTTTATAGGCGAAAGTGAACATATGACCTCTCTGGGGTCAGTTATGATCGAAACTACAAATTAACGGTTATCAGACTCTTCGTAACTGAATATCTGTGATCTTCACAGCGACCATCTTCACAGCGACCGACGAAGTACGGCCCTAAGGCTGATATTCGTTTCAGCTAGAGTGAACTGCTGCGGCTGTCGTACGCGGAACGTAAACAAGGAGAACAGAAAATAGTTCTAAACGAGTGACAAAATCTAGCTCTGAGTGAGCAATTCAGATCCACGCTGTTTTCTACTAACCGCATAGCGAGTCACAAAGATGGCCATAACACACCTTTGATTACGCTATAGGTTTTGTGGCAAAACTTGCGAGATAAATGTGAAGCAAAACAACCTGTAACAAATAAGCTAACAATCACCTATTAGGTTGACGTGAGCACGAAGAGATGAAACTCTGCGTTTCAAGACGACGTATAACGACATCCGTTGTCGTTTTGAAGGTGTAGTGTAGTGGGCAGCGTGTCGGACTCGTAATGTGTGATGCGATGATGGGGCAGGTTCGACTCCCGCTCACTAGCTTTTATAGCGACAGCAAATATATGGACACTCTCGGCTAGTTTTTGCACCGGCGCTGGCGTCGGTGGAGGCGTCACCGTCACTCAACGCATCTATGTATATATGAAAACCCAAGAAAGAAAAATAATTAGGAAAAAATTTGGGCGCGTGAAATCAAACGTGGGTCTTTTGAAACCTGAGTACCAGGCGTTCACCACGGAGCCGCGGAAGAGCTCGTCCTTCAATGTTCGAATGGGAAGCTATCTATATATGCACACACCGCTAGTGACGGGCATCTCGAGGGGAGGGGGAACTGTCATGTTTTTAGCAAGAGGTACACTAAGCGTGCGTCACCACATCATCACGACGCGGCGGTGCGCGCTCTCCTGTCGCAAGCGTACTTTGCCCCGTGGAAAGGAAGGGATGGACGCTCACTCGTGCGCCGTCATCTCGCGGTGGGCAGGATCGTACGTCTTCGCTTACCTTGGGCTCTCATAGGAACATATCTGTTGTAGTTACCGGCTGCACAAAGGTCACTGAAATCGTTGCACAGTCTGCGTATGCGAAAAGAGCGTCCCTTTCAGACTCAGCGAAGTAACAACTGAGAAGGTTATTAGCGTTAATTTTTACTTGTGAGTATGTTTCACGCGCTATTCGTGCGTGAGGCATGTTTCAATCGCGGGGCACGTTTCAATCTGCTGTTATTCTGCAAATATCTTCCAATTTTGTGCTATTGCGTTCATTACTTCATCTTTGTGGCAAAGCTGTGATTTTTTGTTTCAATTTTTTTTATTTTTCGTACTTGGTTTTGCAGCGCTCATGTTTCAGCCCTAAGCAGAATGTGCGCGTGACCAAAAGTTTTGAAAACAATTAATTAGCCGGATTTCAGCCGCTAACAGGTGTCCTAGTGTGCAGCTAACAAGTGTGCCTCATGCTCTGCCGCGTGGCAGCGTCCCCGTGTTCAGCGCCACACTGGTCCAGTAATAAGGTATGACGCTGCAACAGTGCCATGGGGTTACGCAATAGGGATATGTTTATGTTTACGAGAAAAGAAAATGAGGCATTGCACATCTACATGTGCTTCGAGATATTGTATTGCGACCTATCTTCACATGCACATGTATGTTGGAACTGTTGTTAAAATATCTGTACTTATTATCCCAATATATAGGAACTTGAGCTCTGCGAACGTTTCAAAAAAACTTGGCAATGTGCCAGTTCTTGAAGCTTGAGAATACATGTGCAAACTGTTGATATCTTTAGGCCTTAACAAACGATTCGGTAAGAGAACGAACATAAATTAGGCTTTAGATAAAAAATTAGCGATAATATACCGAACATGCTGGGTAATAACGAATAGTGTGATAGCATACGCATATGATGAAAAGGGGGGTAAATTTTCAACCTTTTATCAGAACAACCGAGAAAATGCATTTGTTCCAAGCAATTTTGTAGTATAAAGCGCGTGGTCCTCAGCGTTCAACTGGAGCATGCTAATACGGTCTATATGACAACAAAACTTCGGCACTTACCAAGTTTACAATTCTCGGAACACCACCAAAACATTTGCTTTTGTTGCGATCCTCATCGTTGCACTGCACACCACGCTTAGTGCTTTCGAGGATCCGAGAATGAATGTCGTTCGTGTGCAGGATGGTCATGTTGAAAACTGTGTTTGCTTCATTTTGTGAATCAGGACTATCATTGGATTCTTGAGCTGATCTTCCTGACAGTGAGCTTATTTTGACCACTGGTCCATCATCTGCGCTGGCTTGTGGCCGTACAGAGTGTGAAAAAAGCACGATTACTGCCATAACATTGATGTACCGTTGGTGCCGCATGACTACACTAAGCATGAAGGAGATAACTGATGGCACTTTGATGTAATATGTTCTCCTGGCCTCAAGTGAGCTAGTGGGAGAGTGATGGTGGCGGGGCTGAGCTAATATATTGTATGTAAGATTTCTGAAAAGAAGGTCGCTGTCAATCACACATGAATTGACGTCGGCTGGTTTTGACTTATAATAAAACTGTAGCCTACGACATTGGGATTAGTTTTTTCTACGAAAATATCTTGGTTTCTTTCTTCTTGAGAATTAAATCGAATAGAAAAAGTTCTTCCTTGTATTATATGACACATTTGCCTTTTCGCAATAGACATCTTCTTGACTGTGTGACAGACAACTGACACCCGCTCAAAGCAGCACCTCAAGAAGGAGCATGGCGTCAACTAAGTTTCTCAAGTACTTGAAATGTAACTGTAAATGTCTGTTACGCGTGAGAAAAAAGTTGGACACTCGTCCTTGTGACTAAACATACGATGGTGCAAGTGCCTAACTCAAGGGGCTATGCTGACATATGTGCTCCATCGGCCGAATTAGAGTATTTGCTTTTCAAGCGACGTCGTTAAGAGTGAGTTCATTGGAATTCTGTTTAGAGAAGATGTGAACTGTTCGCGGAGGTTCTCATGCTGGTTTTTTTTTTTTTTTTTTTTGGGGGGGGGGGGGGCTGAACCTATGGCGCGTTTTCTTAGTGCATCATAGGGAGGGATGATGGACGAAAACCTCCCCTCAATAGAGCAGCAGGAGGCGAAGTTTAAATGAATTGCATGGTATATTCAAACCGACCTGCAGGTGTGGCATAAAAGCGATGCCTAATAACAAATTTTGATTACTAGGTACGGTATGGCAGTTGGCATATACAGCGATAGAACATCACTAAACCAATATATATAATTGATCAACAGAGATGCCGTAGTCTAGAACACTGCAAATTTCGATTTCAGGAAGTTTTTCAACGTGCACCTAAATCTAAGCACATGGGCCTGAAACTTTTTCGTTGCTATTGGAAATGCAGCCGCCACGACCGGGATTCTATTCCGCGACCTACGGGTCAGCAGTCGAGTACCACCACCACTAGGCCACCATGGCGGGTTATATCAAGGCTGTATATAACAGGATAAATGCCCGTTACACGTGGCTCAGTTGCTTTGCGTTTGAGCGGGAAAACAGCGTTCAAAAACTGGCAATAGCGTGAAGCACATAAACACAGCCCCAAATCGCTGTGCATACATACTTCCCTTGTGCCGTCTTTGCGTGCTTTTTAAATGCGAAGAATTTTTTAGCGAACTTCGGCGGCTTTGAGCGTATCTATCTATCTATCTATCTATCTATCTATCTATCTATCTATCTATCTATCTATCTATCTATCTATCTATCTATCTATCTATCTATCTATCTATCTATCTATCTATCTAGCCACCTACGACTTTTAGTTCTCCTGGTCGTTTTAATGACGGTATCGATACCGAACTTGGTGTATGCCCCGCCACGGTGGTCTAGTGGCTAAGGTACTCGGCTGCTAACCCGCAGGTCGCGGGATCAAATGCCGGCTGTGGCGGCTGTATTTCCGATGGAGGCGGAAATGTTGTTGGCCCGTGTACTCAGATTTGGGTGCACGTTAAAAAACCCCAAGTGGTCAAAATTTCCGGAGCCCTCCACTACGGCGTCTCTCATAATCAAATAGTGGTTTCGGGACGTTAAAGTCCACAAATCAATCAATCAAATCGACCAAACTTGGTGTGGCATAACATGACAGTATGAAGAACATAATTGACTAGTCGTAATATGAAAATCATGACATGGATGTCATGAATGTCATGATTAACATTTACTGTCATGCAGCTCTTGCGGTGGTTTCGTTTTCATGGCATGGTGCAAAACTGGTATCGTATGACACGATTGCATGGCGAACACAAGCGAGAAAACTTGACACGAAAATAATAAAATGCGTGTCATGTTACAAGACTACATGCCACGCTCATGATTCGCTCGCGGCCGTTTTGCTAGCGTCACATATGCCAAATTTGGTATTACGGTACGTGAATAGATGACGAAGGTATGTGACGGTGCAAACATGATAAACATGAGATGCGTGTCATGTAACAACATGACTACATGCCACTCTCATGGTGCGCCAGCAGCCATTTCGCTAGCTTCACTTATACTAAATTCGGTATTACGGGACGTGAATGGATGACGAAGGTATGATACTGGTGCAAACATAATAAACACGAGATGCTTGTCATGTAACAACATGACTACATGCTACGCTCACGATGCGCTCGCGGCCGTTTCGCTAGCTTCACATGTACCAAACTCGGTATTACGTGACGCGAACAGACGACATAGGTAAATGACACATCAAAACATGATAATCACGACATGCGTGTCATGTAACAACATGACTACATGTCACACTTATGATGCGCTCACAGCCGTTTCGCTAGCTTCCCATATGCTAAATTCTGTATTACGTGACGTAAATAGATGATGAAGGTACGTAATGTGACTGGTGCAAACATGATAATCATGAGATGCGTGTCATGTGAGAACATTAATACATGCCACAGTCAAGGTGCAAATATTTTTCGACGTCACGTGGCGTGCGCGCTCGCCGGCGTTAATTTTGTTGCGTCACACCGGCGTTGCCCCGCCAGGCGCCAGTCCTGCCATATACTCGCTGGCGCGCGCCGCGCTGCGTTGCTTTGACACATGCGCGTTTCAGCGCGTCCTGCGGCCCTCGGTCACGAAAAGAGGGAGACACAGTGCTTCCTGGACAACGCATCGGCACGAAATGGAGCATGTCACATTTTGCGCCTGTTGCCATCGTGCCGCACTGACGGACGCTGGTCGCGCCGGTTGTGCCTGGCGTCAGACTATAGAGTGCTCTCGTCTTGCTCATGTAGCGTTCCTGTGCCAAGCGTGCGCGCGCATCAACGCTACATTTCAGTTTACTGGGCCCTTCATGATGCGCTCATGGCCGTTTCGCTAGCTCCATATGTAGCAAATTTGGTGTTACGTGACGTCAATGAACGACGACATATATGACTGGTGCAAACATGATAATCTTGACACGCGTGTCATGTAGGAACATGACAACATACCACGCTCATAGCATGCTCGCGGGCATGCTCGCGGGCATAGCTCCTAATATATTAAGTTTGGTATGACGTGACGTAAATAGATCACGAAGGTAAACGGCACATCCAAACATGATAACACGGACACGGAAGTCATGTACGGCCTCATTTACCTCCACCTCGTAACGTTGTGTTGACTTTAAAGTGACATATCAACATTTATCATTCGTGCTTTGCATATCACCGATTCCCACTGTACGTGGGATCTGCATTTTTTTTCAAGCTTAGAGAAACACTAGACATACACAGCGGGAGAATAACACACCATTTGTGCATGTGAGAATGATAAATACAACTAAAAATGTACGAGAGTGAGGGTAATATACTGTACGTCAGAAAGACAAAGAGGAAGAAAAGGACAAAGTATTTGCTGAATCGGACACATGCATTATTTTAAAACTGCACAATATTTTATAAAACGACTCAATCTCGACCAATCATTCAAAGTGGGCATGCACCACACAGGTAAACAACAACAAGATCATTGGTACGTCATTTCTAGGCTGCTTCGTTCTTTCTGCGAAAGAAAAAAAAATCGAAGATCACTCGCTCCATGGGAATCGATGTATTGCGAAGCAAGCCGCTGTGGGGTATTGTTTCAATTGAGCAAAATTTTACGGATTTCCGCTAAATACGTGTTCGAATAATAAACACACACACACACACACACTCATTTTAGTGCAGGTGCCGCCAATCTGCGGCCCACATGACAGTACTATGCTGCCACCATCACGGCGTCAAACCCCTCTGAATTTTGCTTGCCACTTGCTATCTGGAGGTGGATGAGCCAGTTTTGACCTAAATTGAGATTTACCCTAGTAACCTAAGTGTCATCGCAGCTGTGTGACGTGCGTGAGAAATATAAACATTATTTTAACCCCGTGTTGCAACTTATTGTCACTTCACCAAATTGTATTGCTTCACCTGCAAATGCCCTAGCTCCTTCTCCCGCCCATCAAGGCAAAAGCGCTCCTCGTACACCCGTCCCATTCCACGGCGTTCCAATCTCACCTCGGTTTCAGAATAGACCACAGACATAAGCGGAACTGAGAAGTGGGCCGTGTGTGTCGTGAAACACGCCATGTTAAAGGTGCGGCGCGGCAGATTCTCGCGCAAGGAACTGGATTCCCCGCTTCCAGGGTGGTAGTAGTAAGTGGTTGTTGAAAGAATTGAAAAAAAAATAGGCATGGCTAATCCCCCTATCTAGGAATCGGTATGACACGAAAATGAAACGTGCCTCCACAGGAGTTTTGAGCGTTTATTATGCAGTGTTTCAGCAAGAGCAAGAAAGTGCCATGTCACGTGAAGAAGAGTGAGCAGCTCAAAACTTACGGCACACCTCAAGCAGACAGTACGCAAAAAATTAGCATACACCGGACGAGCGCGGGCTAGCAACGGTCACAGTGCGACACTTTAAGTGTGCTGTTCCAACAGACACAAAGAGGCACAAAACGAAAGCACAAGTGTAGACAAGACAAGCGCAAACAACTGTCACAATTCTTACTTCATTGTGCAGCAGCGCGTTCTTTCGTAAACGCGGTCGTGGTGGTGAGCGAAGTGACGTTCGCCCTCACGTGAATAACGAGTCTCATAAGCGGCCGCGCAGGAGAGACCATGCTGCGGGGAGGTGACAGCACGCTTAACGGTGCCCGAAGGAAGTCCATCGTGTCATGTCGCTACTGGTAACAAAAACGCGCGAAGGTTTTGGAGCACCGAGGACCGCCAAACGGTGTATGGTGGCTTGCCATTAGCACCTTCTAGAACGTACGCTCCATGGCCTAGCGGTATGCGCTGTGAACTGCGAATCGATAGGTTGCTGCCTCTAGGATGCGTGACAAAACATAACTTCTCGTTATTTTATTTGCAATCAGTTAATACACAATTTACAATGTCATAACTGTGACTGAAATACGTCAGGGGAGTCG